GAGAGAGAGAGAGAGAGAGAGAGAGAGAGAGACAAAGATAGCAGTACTCAAAAATAATAAACCCTTCCTGAGACTGCTTTTGATTATGACATCTTACCATAACAACAGAAAATAGCTAACACACGCATCTCTTTTAACTCGCAAACTTGTGAGTTTTAAGGTTCTGTTGAGTTTCTGACACTGAACTAATAGTTTTCTAAAGTGATTGTTTCCCTGTGATACTGTTTTTAGTACAGCCTGTACTCACCAGCACACTTCCGGTCAACATTTTTGCCTCCCTTATTCACGTTGCTGCAAAATTTGTCAAGAACATGCTATTCTGTGTAGAACCTCCAAGAAGTAATCTATCAAATGTTTAGCATCCTTTTATCATGACCTGCCATCTTCTAATTCTCCAGTACCTTTTCCTTCTCTTTGTAGCCCTGAGCCATCATGTCAGCTCTCTTGTTCCTGCTCTGACTGCCTGGTTGTATCATAAACGTAGACTAGCCTCACTTCTCTAAGCTAGACGCTGTCCATGTGGATCATCATATGTGTGCCTCACCTCCACACAGTCTCCACGGCTACACGGATTGGCACGACTTACTAATGGTACTCCTAGTCACCGTGAAGGGGTGCGGAGCATGTACACACTAGCTCTCAAAACTTCTCCAAATATAAATTGAATAACCACTCATTAATCATTCATCGATCAAAGAAAGTGACATGGCTAAAACTCAAAGGGATGAGGAAGCAGAATCAATGTGTTTCTGAGAAGTAACAGTATCAGCTTCATTTCCCCTCTTTTGTTCTTTCTCACTGACTCCACTTGCCATCTGTTTTATCGTCACCTATGGTTAACAGTTGCTCTGTATTTTCTCTAATCATCTGAGATTCTGGATTAGTTTAGGAAAATGATGTACAACACATTAGGAGCTTTGGATTTAAAATGTAGCTGAATTCTGGCAGGCAGAGTACCTCTCCTGTAAGAAAAAAATAAACTATTTTTTTTAATTATCGTCTTTCCTCCTAATTAACTGCCTCCTGATAAGTATGATGAACTCTCAACCCACTGAGATATCACCAGGGCTGCTTGTGGATACCAGAGCCATGAGTTAATGCCTTCTTTTGTGTTCATTTGTTAGAGGAAACCCAAGGTGCTGGACTGAACATCTGTGAGTCTGTAAGATGGTAAGTCCCTGAAATTTTCACGACAGAAACATACTAATGACTAAACCCATAGGAGCACTCTGGACTCTTTGCTACACCTGAAAATTAGAAAATAATAGCTCTGAGTAAAGGCAGAGCACCAAGCATTTAGTGCACAGGAAATGACTTCCCAAAGAAACACGACATACAAGCATTGGAACAGGAATATTCCATATCCACCTGGGGGAAGGGAGTCTAATATGTTTGATGATATCAGTGCACTAGTTTGGCCGCGCTTTGTGTAGGTAGAAATTGAATTCCTGCAGCAGGCAGGTCCCTGTATTTGCTGATGCATAATGAGGGTGCTCAGACTTAGACTGTTTATCCCCTAGAGTCTCATTAAACTAAATACACTTGCCTTAAGCCACCTGCCTTTGGGCAGCCACAATAGATATAAAATCAGATTCATTTCCCATCTTGATAAATTGCCATTAACTACTACTTTATCTGAAATAAGCTTGATAATTAGTGCCTCTGATTACATGGAGAAAACTGTTGAATCTTTTAGAATGCCGTAAAAAAATGCAGCCTTTCTAAATCTGCGGCAGTTGAGGGAGGAGATTGAAAGCCCTGAGCCAGTCGTGCCTGTGATGAGTGTCATTAAAATAGCAATCTTTTTTTGGAAGCTCATCTTGTCCCAAGTAAGTATGATTTAGGAATATGAGAACACCTGTTCTAGGGTGGTGAATTTTACCTTAGTGCTGTGATATCTGCTAAGAATGAGGGCTGAAAAGAAAGAAAATGATGCTCTGAGTGACAGGTCGATTTAGCTGACTAATCAGAAGGAAGGGAAAGAGGCCCCCCAGAGATGGGGCTCTCACAGGGCCTCAGTCCAGGTCTTGTCTGCTTTTATTCACAGCCTGCTACAAGTAAATTGCTTTAGTGATATTACAGTCAATAACATTGACCACACACAATGAGCTTGCTGTCCTCAGTGAGGTGGGGAATGCTTCCCAGTTCGGTCCTGCCAGATTTTCAGAAGACAGTGCTGATTTTTTGTTGTCTCCATTTTCCATGGAATTTTTTATTCTGTCTTCTTCCCAGCTAGGACAGATAGAAGGATTCTTTAGACTGGATGAAGCATTTCTTCCTTGTTTCTGGAAGCTTCTTTCAGTGACACACATTTTGTGAGACATTAGCCTATGTCAGGGAGAGTATCCAGAGAGCTCTGCCTGCCTGACTTTTACTTGAACCTGTGACTACAAAGAGCTAGGGAACCCTGGGAGGTGTAGTGAAGACTGGGGAGGAGCAAGAAGATGTAAGATCCTTGAAAAGGGGGAGGAGAACTAATGGAGAGCAACAGTGCTTGTGTCATTAATTATTTGATAAAACTAACAATAATAATGCTGTCTCTAGAAAATTTATTAGCATTTGATTAAATTTCACACCAATCCCATGAGGTATATTAGGAAATAAGACAATAATCCATTTTCAAAGGTGCTTCGGTCCAACTTTGGTTCAAATACAAATACAGAGAAATTGCTAGGTGACCACCCTTACTCTGCTAGATAAACTACCCTGAAACAAATTCTGCTAATCTACCTGCTGAAAAAAATACTAGCAACCAAACCTGCCTGAAAAGTCACATGTCTGGTAAACTTGACAAAATCAAGACCTATGCATTGTCCTTTTGAAGAAATATAAAAGGCAAGAGGCAAAGGGAAGGACTTGGGTGACTTAGGCAACACCCTAATTACTTCATTCATGAAAAAAAGGGAGGAAACAACATGTGTTAGGTAGAAAAAGCTGATCTCTGTGTTCAGTAATGCACCGGTTATTTGAGGGAGGATGACACTGGTCTTTGCAAAGTCACAAAGTAATCCTCCCACACACATACATTGTTTTCACCCATGAGTCTCCAGTGATGTTAATATGAAGTAAAAGTTCATGTTTCCCACAGGACAGATGGTCATTCTGCTTTCTAAATATATTATTTTCTCTAGGTGACTGATAAGGAATTGGATATAAGTGTATGGTCCCAGATTCCTGCCCTTTCCCCCAGGGGTGGCTTTGTACTTGCACCATTATCCAACATAGGGACCATGGTTACAGGATTAACAGAGATCTTGGATGATTTGGAATCTGAGGAATGGCAATCTTTTGATAATTATCTGTGGTGTTGTTATTACTGAAGTCTAGGGGGTGATGAGGTTAGACATGAGATTATTGACCTCAAACTCAGGGTAATGGTGAACATCTACACAGTGATGGTGAGAGAGATACTCAGAAGAAGTGAGTTGATTCAAAATTGTTTATAGATAATGGATCTGGTGATGTTCAGTTCAGTCTGCAGATTTAAAAAAGAGTATTTTGAATATCAAGTCCTTTCTTTAAAAACATAGAAAGATGTTTACTTCTGCCAAAGAACTCCAAAGAAGAAATGCTGTTTCTTATGGGGTTTTGTGTGTTGCTAATGAATGTGGTTCAATTGACAAGCATAGGAAAATTTTGTGAAATATGAACCTTCAAGGTCTCACTGTCTTTCAAGTTGAGTTGAAAACTATGAAGGGAATTTAAACATTTGCCTAAACTTTAGTGGAAGTACATCCCACGTGATTGGAACAGATGGCAGTGCCACCCATGAAAACAAATCAAGTTTCCAGTAAGAATCTTTCATGGTTATATATTATTCCATTGTGTGTGTATATATATATATTTATATATATATATATATATACTGTGCTCAGATTCTCAAAATTGTTCTCAATTTTTCTACAGATTATACATATAATAAATTTATACATATTTTTTTGCAAGTGATAAAATGGTTTGTAAGGGAAGTTTTATTGTCTGTGTGTGTATGTGTGTACCATTAGTTCAGTGCTCTCAGAGACTGAGGGAGGGCAGTATTCCCTAGGAGC